CTTTCGATGCTCTCAATACTCAGAACACCTTGTTCTCACAGCAGGCTGCTCTCCACATGAATACAAAGTTGTCATTGTATACTTTGTATACAAGCCAGCTCAGACATTCTCATGCCACAACTGTGCCTGTTTGCTTTCCTGGCCTACCTGACACTTCCTGTCCCCAGGAAGTCTGGATGCTTCTTTGACATTTTGCAGATCCCTTTTTCATTTCTTGTGTGGTTATATTTTATCCATTGAAAATTTTCTTCTACATCTCTAACGAATCCTTCCATAACAAGAAGTCTCTCCTCGCCGCCCCCACACTTTCTCATTTGCTTCATCTCAGAGCAACACAGGGAAGACTGAACTTGTGACAATAGACCCAGCTTCTCTTTCTTTTTGGGAAACGAGCTCTCTACAGTTTAGTCATCTCTGAATCTCTGTTGCACATGGACAGAGTCACTGGGTACCTCAGAGTGTAACTCTAATCTGGGATGCTGCTGTCAAACACTCACCGAGATCTATTCAAAATTGTATGCACTTCAATCTAGCTGTTATGCACTAGCAATAGGAAATCCAAACACTAGACAGGCTCTACCCAGCACCTTTCCCTACAGAGCCATATCTCAGGAGGTAAGAGAATGCCACAGCCTTCTCCATGGATATTTAAATCTTCCTTTTGTCACTTAATCTGCTGGCTATTGTACTTTGTCTATTCCGCTCTAGCATGAACTTCTCAGAGATGAGAATGAGAGGGCATAATTTTCATATCCCCTGAAGCATTTGGCTCAAACCTTTGAGCATAGCAGGTGCCTGATCCATTTCTATACAATGGAATATTTGTTGGGAAACCTTGATACCGCCTAGCTATCAAGTAATTTTCCTTAAATGTTTTTGCCATAATTCTGCAATACATAAAGATCTGTCACCAAGGAAACACCTTTGTCATTCTAGATAAAACAGAGCCTTTCAATTTTTTAAAATCTAAGTAGTTCCTCATCCTATTTCTGATATTCTTTGAGACTACTAGGTTTCCTTTTATAATGATCTTTCACAAGAAGCCATGGTAGCTAAGGGTCCAGGTAGTTGCAATGACTCTTCCCTCCATCTTTTCATTCATAAAAACACAAGCTTGTTTTTAGGCATATTGTCACCTAAAGCTGGCAGAGCTTGGAGCTAATATTTTTCTACCAGCAAACATCTCTATCATAGATTTGGGCTTCTGTCAAACCCACAGATCCCTAGCTGAAGCATTTGTTGTGTTTCTGCTATGTTCTTCTCAGGACCATCCTACTGTGATTGAACCCTGGCTGTCTAGCCTCTTTGCATCCTTTTATTTAAACCTGGGCTCATATAGCATTTACCTGAGCATTGTCCCTCAACTATGAATTTCCTCGACATTGACCTTTCCCACCACCATAACTCTCTTGGTCACTTAAAACCCAACTCCATTTAATTATCCCAGGCTTTTGTGTGCCCATATAGGATATCTCAGCAGTCTCTAGTAGTAATTTCACCACTTTCCCACAGAGCTGAGACACTTCCTCATATCCATTCTCTTTTCTAACCTCAACCAGTCTCATGACATTCAGTCTGCAAGTCTATTACGTGCAATGTAATAAAGCAAAGGGGGAAAAGAAGTCTCCAAGATGTTCCAGGCCAACCGAATCTTTCCTTCTCATTTTATAGACTGAAATACCAACATAGACAGAGGCTAAGAATTTTGTCAAAGTAAATCCAAGGCAATCAAATTAAACCTCAAGTTTTCTGACAAGCAATTTTATACAACAGTATTTTTAAAGAAATAAATAAATAATACAACAACAGCTGGTACTGATTTACCATTATTATATAAGATATAGTTGCCAAAACTGAAACGGCTTTTTCACAAACCAATGCCTCTGTTCCAAGGTACTTGCAAACTGAAGATTGATTTTGGCAGTTCTTATGACATGGATATTAACTATAACATATAACAAGTCTGAGTGCTATTCTATCTCAGAAGACCAACAACTCAGTCTTTTAATGGCAGATGGTTGCAATCAGAGAAACTCTAGAAGTGCCCAATGCCTTATCTTCCATTACAGATAAAATAAAAGCACTCAGAACTTAAAGCAAAAGAATTTCACCATACTATTAAAGACACTAATAGGCCAAAAAACACGAAGTTGGTTTCATAAAAGATATGGAATGACTCTGCAAAAACCCAAATCCCTGGATTGCAAGCAGATGCAGTTAGTCCCCAAGAAACAAATCCAATCTTCTCTACTATAATGCAGTAATATAAATTGATGCAACGAGAAGTCATTCATACTCGAAAGACAAATGTCCTACGATATTCTGTATTTGCAGTGAACATTATAAGATTCAGGGCTGGGAGACAGCTCATCAAGTAAATCACTTGCCCTATACGCGAGGATGGAAGTTCTGATTCCCACAACCCAAGTAAATGCTGTGGGTGTTAGCATCCTTCCTGTGATCTGAGGCTGAGACAGGAGATCCTGGGAGTAAGTCGATCAGCCAGGCTGACAGTTATTAGTCAGCTCTGAGTTCAAGGGAATCTCTCATGCAATGGATAAGATGGAGATTAAGCAAGGAAGATTCTAATGTCAACATCAAGCCTCCACACACATGTCACAGGTACATAAGCACCTGTACATACACATGTGCCCACACACATACAAACATACACTAATGAAGTCATATCACCTGCACACATGCATGCACAAACTTAACAAAGTTCATATATTTACAATAGTAAATATACTATTGCTTTTTTGTAAAGCAAAAAGAAAAACGTCCTTAAGGTAAAAAACCATTTACATTAAGAACATTAAGAATATGCCATATTCTTACTGGCAATGACAAACCAAAATCGGGTGTCATTTCAACTCTGTTTTCATTGGTACAAACTCCCTCAAGGCTCACTTATTTGTCAAATTTTACCTCACACGTATCACAGTGATCATCTTTCAACTCCCATTCATAACTATCTTCTCTGTATTCAGAGAGATAGACCAACTAGACACCAAGACACATATATTGTCCATGAATCTATCTATACTCTCAGATTCTGCGGCAGCTATCTGATCCCTGAAAATTACTGTAGACTGCCCTGCGCCAGCTCCCTGTCTTCCTGAGTCGGCTGCTGGTGGCAGCTCTGCTGTGTGGTGACTGGGAGCTGATGTTTTGTCAGCACTGGAGGAGGGCGAGCGTGACTGAATCACACGGAAAGTGAGCAGTAATGTGTCAGGTTGGTGACTGGAATGTAAAGAGCTCTGCTAATGCCAACAGGGGAACTTGGCAGACAAGCTACCCTCTCTAATTTAAAGCAATAAGATCTATGTTTTTTCCTACATGGTCTGTCTATGGGTGATGGTAAAAATCAGTCCAGGGATCTATAGACATTTTGTGACATTTTAATGCAGAACCGTAGCTGGAAAGGCTGAGACGTGAGGTTCATAAGTTCAAGGACAGCTGAGTAATTTAAGGACTCAAAAGTAATAAGAGGGCTGGTGTAAAGAGAAGCCTTCCTGCCAGCCTGGATACAAAGCAACATCAGTCCCAAATAAACACACAGGTGGTATATTAATTATGAAGCTGTTGGCCTTGCTTGTTTCTTACTGGCTAGCTCTGACTTAAGTATTTACCCCATAATTGTTAATCTAAGTATTTCTCTTACCGGAGCAAAGTTCCAGACATCTTATTTCTCTGACGGGCTATATTGTGACTCTCTGTGTTTCTCCTTCCCAGAGTCCTCCTGGACTCCTAGTCCCACCTATCTTGGTTCCCTATTGGCCAACAGTGCTTTATTGACATATACACAGGACTTCCCCAACAGGGTGGAAATTTAATTCAGTGATAGGGCCCTTACCTAGTATGCAAATGGTTCTGGTTTCAATTCTCACTAAAATGAATGGGTTAATGAACAAATTATTATTATTATCATCATCATCATCATCATATGTGACACTGTGTAGCAGATTGGGCCAAACAGGTTGGAATGATAATAATTCTTGTTATAGGTGCTCCTTAAATTGACCTCCCTGTCTTCATTTATGCTTTACAGCACAGTTTCGGCTATTTTTAAGTGGATGGCTAACCATTCTATCAAGAAAAGGCACTTGCAAGTTGCCTTTCACTTGGTGGCAACAAACGCAGGGCTTTCCTGTCCTAGAAATACAACCTCTGTCTTGTAGGTCACTTCATCCTGCATCCTAAAGATCTATTCTTAGTCCTGCCAGATACTGAGATGGTTGGTTCCACTGGACCCATCATATTCTAGAATGATACTCAAATTGTTAAATAACAAGGTATTCAATTGGCTTTATTAGACTGAGGAGAAAGATTTCTTTGGTGCATATGTCACCTTCCTCGATCTATCAAGTGACCTGCAAAGTTCATGACTCTAGAAAAGCTTCACAGGGAAAGTAGATTCTCAAATCAAATAAGGTGGCTATGACAAGGGTCTCTATGGCGGTGGTGCTCAACCTGTGGGTCGCGACCCCTCCAAGGGTCAAATAACCCTTTCACAATGGTGGTCTAGGATGATCAGAAAACACAGATATTTATCTTAGAATTCATAACTAGCAAAATTACGGTTATGAAGTAGCAGTGAAAATGGTTGCATGGTTGGGGATCACCAAAACATGAAGGAAGAATTGCAAGAAAGGGTTTCAGCATTAGGAAGGCTGAGAACCACTGCTCTGTTATAGCCACTGGAGCAGAAGTCCCTTCAGCTTGGGAGCACAGCCACATGCCCTTAAATTAAGCAAGGAAGCAATCTTATTTGGAGAAATACTTCCTGGCTAATGACTCCTTTTGGAGGACACTGAACTCCCAACCACAAGAACACTGGGCCTCCTTTCCCATGCACTTGCACACCCCTCAGTGTGATGTTAGATTGTCACAGGATACAAAAACCAACACAAATATTGAAAATACCCCCCATGCTCACACCAGAGTTACACATTAAACAAGGATCTCAGCGAAGCAACTAATTTATTTTTCTAAGTGTGTTTTGTCTCCAGTCCATTTGTTGCTTAGATCAGAGATTATGAGATTCAGTGCTCAGCATTCTGCTGACAGTGCAGGATCATCTTCACTCAGGAAATTATGGTTCTCCTGTCTCCAACCTGAGCCTTCTGTCCTGAGACCAGCTCTTCCTGGAGCCACGCTATACCTTTAAAATCAGCAGAGTCTTCTTCCTCTAGATGAGAACAAATGTCATCAAATACTCTTTGGTGGGTTTTCAAAAGCACACACTTTCTTCTTGAAATTAAACTAAGAACAAAAGCCCCATTTCATATCACTATGACAATTCCTGTGAAGCCCTATTAAAAATGACAATGGTACAGAGCAGGAGTCAATGGCAATGGCTGTTTACTAGCATCAGATTCAGCTTCACTGCAGAGCTCAGTCTGCAAAAGATCACATCCCCAGCATGGGGAAATGTTCAAACCTGCCATCATTTACAGCTGGGAAATGCAGCAAGAGAAAATTGTTAAATGGGCACTGCAGCACTTACAGGCATCTTAATAATCCTTGTTCTTTTCCACTTGAGTGTTCATTTATGTTTCAATATTAAGACGCTTTGTTTAGATGGCACAACACTGAGAAAATAGAATAAACTCCCTAGACCTTGTGTTTTACCATTGGCATACTCATAATCATAAGAAGTGTAAGAGGTATAACACTATGGTATAAAAGCTGCTAACATTCTGGACGTATAATGCTGAGAAGGTAACGTAGCTGCCCTGGGTTGGTGTGTGCTTGGAATAAGATCATGCATTTCAAGTGTTTGCCATGGCATCAGATATGAAACTACTAAGCCTGCCATGATTACATCGACTGTTACTCTGCTGGTACAGTTGCCTCAAACAATTCTCCCAGACAGTTCAGTGTAAATTAGAAATAAGGAAAAGACTCTGAATAGAGAGAATAATTCATGCACCTGTCTCGGTGGTGATTGGCATGCACTTTCTTTTGCTTATTTCCCCAGAGAGATCTCATAGTTCTTTTTCAGCTGGTGATCAGTCTTATGTACCGAAAGGACTCAGCCAAGATGAGGAGGCTGAGAGATCCTTAAGAAGGTGGAGGATTTCTGAGCCTAGGAAGCCCAGCAGCTGAGAAAAGAGAGCAGAAAAGCAAAAGAGTAATTCATCCTCTGAAAAGCATTAACAAGCATGTGTGACAGGAACAGCAATGAGTAACTAGCCCCTTTACTGGTTCTCATCACCTGCTTTGACAGAGGTAACCTTTGTCTGCATAATGACTTCCTTTCTGAGACAATGGTCAAAGAGAAAAGTCTATACCAGAATCAAGTCTACCTTGAGTGATAAAATTAGGCAAAGTCCCCAAAGCTCCAACTATTTTTCTGGGGAGAAAACAGACTTGAATATATTCTTTCCCAGCTTAGACACAGGATGAAAAACCCACAATTTGCAATGCTGTATGTCTACAGTGACCAATAGGTACAGATTTTCCCTTTCCAAGTAAAATCATAGTAACCTCTACAGAGAGTTTACCAGGCACAAAGCCCTTTAAGGAAACTGCAATGTAAACCTGAGCCAGCATGGTCTTGCAAACTATCAGCTTCCCAGATCCTCTGCAGGAATTCTGTATTCCCATCTCGTGTCAGGAAATGTGAGTGTCATTCAGGTTATTCAAAGCCCATAGAAGACAGGAAGAATTCTGCAGCTACACCATCACATGGCCTCCCGTGTTTAAACACTCCATTCCATGTCTCCATCTCCTTCACTAAGCATCCTGTACAGGAGCCTGCAGACTTATTTCTGTCCTGCTGCAGTCATGACCTTGATTTTCCACTCTTTGGATAGCTGCAGTATTAATGTCAGCAAGTTCTGTGCATTTAGACACTCACAAAGGGATTATGTCACCTCAGGGACTCACTCCTCCTCGCCATACTGACAGCTGACTTAAGTCTGGGCTATGATTAATAACAACTTAACTGGTGGTTTGACAAGGTACATTTCATCTTCAGATTACAAGATGCCCAGCAAAAGTTCCTTTGCGTATTCTACTTGTAGGGTGGGAAGATGTAGGAAGCCAGGTCTCTCTGGCTTAAGTTACACACCCAGTAAATAGTACTGAAAGGAAAGGGGAAAGAAATTAGGTCTTTGGGAGATTCAGTTTCCATTCACAAAGTCATAATGTCAGCCCAAGAAAGAAAGGGTATAAAAATAATACACATGGAAGCTCACAGCACACATGAGAAGAATTCAGTATACTGTTTTCCTTTGGTTTCTTCATCTGTTTGAGGCTTCAGAATAGACATATTAGTGAAGTGTGGCTGTGGTTATTTAACTTACTGATTGAGGATACTTCAAAGGCTTGTGAAATTGTTACAAATTTCATATTTCGTGATTATATTTATATATATCTATATATATATAGATATATATAGATATATATATATATCAAGTGAACCAATTGAATTTAGTCATCCTTGTTTCCTGTGGTCAGCAACCTGAAGATAGATTTATCCTGTATGTTTGAACTGAGTAGAATTTTCCAGATCTGTGCAATTATAGGCCCACAGAAGCTTCAGCAAACTCCAGACTCTTCATCCTTCCAGCATCTTAGAACCTGTTTAGGGTAAGTTTTGAGTTGGAGAGTGACCAAATGGTTCAATAGAAAAAGCCTTGAGCTTTGGAATAGTTAATACGAAGGCCTGGCTTAGACCTGGCCCTCTGCAAATTTCCTGAATTTCCCAAAAGGTTGCCTCCTACCCGCGCAATGAAAGTTCTGACTCAGCTCCCAAAGCTCTCATGCATATTACATCCACAGGCTAAGAAAATTTCAAGGTCTTCCAAAATAATGACTTTGTAAAACCAACCTGGAACAATTTAAAACGTTGATAAAGATCAATGGGTAAAGCCTTTGAGCACACAGTATGAACAAAGCACTGGGTGACAAGGAAGGTGGGAAGGCAGGGTTCCTTGTCCTTCTGTACGTCAGGGGCTTGCCGTAGATAACAAAGTACATGAAACAAAACTGAAAGCAAGCTTATGCTGTGTGATGCAGAATTAAAATGGAGTGATGTGCGGAAGGCAAAATATAAAAGGCATGTTCACCAAATTAAACATGAAAGAGAAGAAACATGAAAAAGCCAAAGGAAGAAGGACTATAGAGATGCTGAGGTGTTAAGATAGCATGGCGCTCCCTGGAGGCCGTTGTGGGATGTGCAGGTAGTTTGTGCTGCCACACTGTAAGTGATGTTGAAAGGGCAGAGCTAGGAAGCCTAGGATGTTACAGGATCTGCCACATACCCCAGATCAGCATGAGAAGAAAGCTAAGAGTAGGGCAACCTTCCATTTTACATAGCATCAAATCAGTACACAAAGCTGACATCCATAAATGCTCATCATCACTGAACAGAACAATGAGAGACATCCCTGGTGCACATTGTAAGTAGACATGTACAAATAGGAAAATGCAAAGTAAGATGTCAATTTTCACTAAATGCTAAGAGTAATTTATCACAAAGTTTACTATTAAATTTTGTCAGAAGCACTATGCATAAGACATACGAACATTTACAAGAGAGAACTTTCAACAAAGTGAAATATAAATACTTTTGCCTTAGATTCTCTTTTGTTGCTGTGATAAAATACTCTGACAAATGTCACTTAACGAAGAAAAGGTGTCTTTCTCACAGGTCATGGTTCTAGTTTAGCAAAGCATGACTGGGAAGTCGAGACAGCAGAAGCTTGAAGCTACTGCTTACATTGTGTCCACATCAGGAAACACAGTGAGATAAATGCGTATGAACTACTGCTAGTCTCACATTCTCCATTTTGTAAAGTTCAAGGCCTGCTGCAGAGGTAATGGCCCCAACCACACTCAAGATGCTCTGTCCACATCAATGAACGCAATTGAAATAATCCCTCACAGAGACACATCTCCCAGGTGAGTCTCGATGCTATCAAGTTGATAATTAACACCAACCACCAGAGCCTTTAAAAGTAAGGCCATCTGATGTGAGTGAGGGAGTTAATAGACAAATCAATGAAATAGAATTAAATATCCGCGATGGGCCCAGTTGCATACTGAAGCTCAGGACTGCTAACAAGCAGCATTTTAACCATCTAGCAGAGGATTAAAAAATCATGCCAAATAAGTAATGCTGCGGAAACCGGATATTCATCACAGAGCACATAGAACGAGACGATTTTTCACAGTGGACATAAGAAAAGTGCCAGTTGACAAGCTACTCAAATGCAAAACTGGAAGCAAACAAATACAAAAAGAAATCATGTGTTAATCTCATCAGTTGAGAATAAGACCACTACCACAGTTTAAAGCCAAATTTGAAGCAAACTTTAATTAAGTACTGGCCAGATGGATGGGCTCTGGCCAGGTCCATCTCTGGTTCCCCAGAAAAAAATGACCCTGAGTCACCATTTACAACGGCTTAAGTATTTCCCATCAGGTCCAAACAGGGGCAAGCATACATCCTGGCAAATTCCCTGCCTGCGAACCTCCCACTCACATGGTGCAGATGGGTCAAACAAACTTGTTTAGGGAAGTGAGAGCATGTGGCTTGTTATCTCCTATAAACAATGGCCTCCAGCATTTCAGAAACTATCTGTCCTGGGGCAAGGGTCTTGCAGATGAGGAGGTTTTGATTCAGGGATCTCTTAGGCATAGTAATTAAAACAAACTACAACTTTGGCTCTCACACATGGATAAATTCCCCCTAACCACGGAGAATCGGGGAAGTTAAGTAAAAACCCTGTAATACTAATTTCAGTAGGAAATAGCAGTAGTATAAAGTCATGGTGTGTCTTTTCTTTAATATGCATTTCATATATCTGCCTCCTAAGAAAACCTAAAATGACAATCAGGTCATTACTACTGGTCCCCTGACTCCCTAGACTGTCTCCACCTCATGCTGTATTTCCGGAGATGATAAACTATGAAACTGCTCATTTGAGGTCAACGACACCAAATATCCGTTCTTCTGCTCTGAGAATCAAGGAAGTTATTAAAATGAGCTGACGTTGCGTGAAGAGGATTGTTAGGAATAAAAGCTTCTGGTTTCTTTTCAGAATTAAGATAAGGACCTGAATCAGCTTAGCTGGAGTTGCAAATGAACAACACTGTGCCCCTGTCAAGTTAGCTAGCCACAGCAAACACTATTAGTCCAACTACCCACTCCCACCCAAACCAGAAGTTTAGAGCAGAAAATTACCAACAGCCAAGTTCTCCTAAGGGCCTGCAGCTGTGACAAGGTCATATGCCTGCTAAACTTTCAAATAAGCATGGTGTAAATCATCGAGGTGAGTCTGTGCAAGGTCTTTGTGGAAAAGGAATCCTGCATGGACAGATGGAGAGCTAAGAGTGAGCTGAAGTATAAGGCCTTCCCTCCTGATTACCCAGCCAGTGAGGAAAGGGAGGAAGAGGCCTGCATTAGCATTATAAAAACTTTCCTCTGACTACCAGCACACCTGCCCTCCTGGGCTGCCATGGATTTGGCAAAGTTCTCAAGTAAACCTCTTCCCTTTCACTACTGAGTCTCCAGTGCTCTTACTATGGGGTTAGGGCAAGTTCCTTGCAGGCCTCCAAAGCCCAATTAAAATCAAACAAGGTAAGCATTTGAATGAATGTCTTAGTGAATTAATTGGCAAAAGTCAAGCAAAGCCCCGCCCTGCCTCAGGATAATAGTAACAAGTTTACAAGGAAAACTTAAAAGGTGAATAAAGGCACCTGTGAACCAAAAGTCCGGCTTCTAACACTTATAGAGGAAACACCAAGGGCCTTCCAAGTTCAAGATTCAAACAATTTGCCATCAAAAAGACAGAAGATAGAGAAAACATGCCACGTGTTGAATACGTGTGACAGCAGAGGATCACTGTAGACCTTAGCTCTTTCAATGGCACTGTGACTATTTTTATAGAGTTAACCCGATACCATGTGTCTGCATGTAAGTCCTACTCAGAAGGCTAAGACAATAATCACAAGTGCTTGCCTGAACTGCAGAGCAAGACCATTTTTTAAGCGCTTGTATTTTAGAGATAAAAACTCCAGTCTGACATAGGTAAAATGTAGTGAGTCTGGAATTTGATTTCACATATGTGAGAAAGTGGTGTAGGGAAGAAGACATGAACATGGCTTAGTAGGATAGACAATGTAGTGAGATCTACAGAAGGGAGGCGCTAAGCCCAGAGACTTCCGAGTATTCTGTCTCTCCTCTCTCTCAGCCTAGAGACTTTAAAGTATTCTGTCTCTCCTCTCTCTCTCTCTCTCTCTCTCTCTCTCTCTCTCTCTCTCTCTCTCTCTCTGTCTCTCTGTCTCTCTCTTCTTCTCTCTCGTGCATGTGTGCACACACACTTCACTTACAAGTGGGTGTGCCCACACAGAGGCATTTCAAATCCCTTTTAAAAATGGAGAATGAAAAGCTCCAAGTCTTGCCATTGAAGAGTCTAACAATCTCTCATTGGGAAGAACAGACCCATCACATTACAAAAGTCTCACACATCCATTCTTGTCTTGCATTTTCCTATGGGGCTCAGGGAAGCCCAAAATAATTTTTGGAGCCCTTCAAGGCTGACTTTTTAAAACCCAAAGCATAGAGCTCTCCAGAAAAGAGTGGGCGGCAATATATTTCCCTTATGGCTTTCTTAACAGAAAGAAATGAAAGAAAAACGGCTCCATGCAGGTCAGACGCTTATGATTCTCCCATGTTCTAATGGATCAGCTAGATACTGGTTCCCCAAATAAACTGCTATTGCATACCTCAAAGACAGGAAAGGTTGACCAAAGTCTGCAGACCTTTTTGGAATGAGTCTTTCAACTACCTGAGTAGAAAAATAAAAATGGTTTATCACTTTTTCGTCTAAAGGATACAATCTCACATTTCCCAAATACTCCTGACAACCTAAGACAAACTAACATGTGCTCTCTGCAAGACTATATATGCAATTAGTTTTCTTTAAAAACGAAAGGTTTATCAAAAGCAATCAGATGCAGAGACCCACAGCCAAATATTAGACTACGCTTAGGGAATCCTGCAGAAGAAAGGGAGAAATGATATCACAAGAAAGCCCACAGAAATAACTAACCTGGCTCATAGCAACTCTCAGAGTCTGAACCAACAACCAGGGAGCCTGCAAGGGATCAACCTAAGTCCACCCTAAATACAAGGGGAGGCGCTTAGTCTTACCACAATTTAATGTTGATACCAATGGGAGGCTTGCCCCTTTCTGAACAGAAACATTGTAGGAGTTGGGGTGGGGGAAGGTAGGGGGAAGGAATGGGAGGAAAGGAGGAGGGGAAACTCTGCTCCGATAATACCTCACAGACATGCTCAGCAGCGCATCTTGTCAATCATTCTAAATCCTATCAGTTTGGCAATCAATATCAACCATCACAATGCCATAACTGGTTTTCACAGCTATTTCACTGTGACAGGTTCTGAGTGGCCTTATAAAAATAGTGCTCTGCTTTTAAGACAATTCAACCCCTAAGCATTGGCACCTGTCTGCATTAAATAGGTACCAAGGGTGGGGAAGGCAGCTCTGGAGAAAGGCAGCAGGATACAAGGTGATAAGGAGGGGGAAATGGAAAAACAGAGGAGGAGCTTTAACTTGGAAAGGGGACACTAAGGGCTTATAAAAATCCACAGGGATGATGATGTCTTTTGAGACAAGGTCTTATTCTGTACCCTTGGCTGACCTGTAACTCTATGTGTAAACCAGGCTGGCCTCAAACTTATAGAGATCCACCTGCCTCTGCTCCTGAGTACTGGGATTAAATACATGCACTGCAACACCCAGCCAGAAATCGTATTATTTTATAGTTACCTAAATTACATATCATACACACACATATATATACATATACATATTTAAGCTGAATTATATCACTTGGAGTGATACTGTTTCTCCGAAAGAGCCATGGACTATCTAGCAAAAACCCTAGTAGCAGGAATGAGAAACCTCCTTTTGAACTGTTCATCAAGAAACTCCAAGGCTCTCAAAACAATATATGCTATTATAGCTACCTTTGACTGTCTCCCAGAAGTTGAAGGTGGGACCCTATTGCTGGATATACCACATGTTTTGTATATAGGACTCAGTAGACTCCAGATAAATATGGCCCAAAAGCCTCTTCCCTGGGAACTAGCATTCATAGTACTGGAAGATGCTATGAAAAGTACCCAGGGGATAAAGTAATCAATAATCCTATCCAGCCGTGATGTCTATGAACTAAAATGGCCAGTACAACAAGTTGTTGCTAAAGGTGCAATAGCGGCACTTACATCTTGGTAGTAACCAACAACTGTCTAATCGGACTTAAGGCCCGATCAATAAAAGGAATATCATACTGGCTACTTTAAACCTAGCCAACTTCCCATGATGAGTTAGGTTATGGACCTTACAGAAAAACCTTCTGCTGCCATTTGCCTAAACCTGACTAATTCCTAACTGCAGTGTAAATATTTATCATTCTATCCACAGAGAAGTGTAGTACTCACCCATCATCAAAGAAACTCCTTTTCTGCAGCAGATAGAGACCATTACAAAAATCCACAACTGGTAAAAATGCAGAGAACAACTGATCACAGGGTGCCTATCCCCAATTGATCTGTATTTACAATACATCCCCTACACCCAAGGCTCACAGAACATCACAGAGGAGGGGGCAGAAAGATTGTAAGAACCAGAGGACCAGGAAATCTGCCTCAAGATTGAGTTTTCTAGATGTGATAAGGAATTATGCCCATAACATATTAATGCTATAACTCCCTAAACAAGACCAGAAAAATGACAACATCAACCAACATGGCTAGAAGAAATCCCATGAGGCTCCCATCTGTAGAGGAAGAGTAATTAATGACTGCAGAGAGAAGAAAGAGCCTTCCCCAGGGATGAACTCTTTAACTGGTTATCCAATACCAAACTAGTCAGCACTCAAAACCTATAAATATAAAAGGCTATGTATTTGATACAGAATAAACTCTTAATCATCAAGTCTTGGGAAAGTTGCCAATGAGTTCAACCTTATTTTGATTTTGTGTATCTTTCTGTTTTAAGGATTTCCTCATTTTGTGTGTATCTCTGAATGCCTGTATGTATATGTACTTCTTGCATGTCTGGTGTTCATGGGAGCCAGAAGGGGGTATCTAATGCATTGGAAGTTGTGAGTCATGTGATTGTATTTTAAGTTTAAAAAAATGAAATACCTTTAAAAGGTATGGATCCCATGAAAAACGAAACTTTGAGTTAGCTGAACTTAATGGAAAAAGGACTTCAGCAAAGCTGAGCAAATTGGTCACTGGGTGCCCTGACTGCAGTAAATTGTCCAGATGGCAGGCTATTACTCTTATTTATCTGTTTGGCAGAAATAACACAAGCACTAGTGCCGTTAGGTAAGACAAGCCAAACCTGAGCTACAGTAGCTGGCCCAGTCGCTCAGGAAAAAATAGGACATACCCTGACATTTGAACAAGGCAAAGAACTTAAGCAGACAGAAAATATGGAAGAAAGGTCATTTTTACAAGGACTAGTAAGGTGCCCGTTCTCATAAAAGCAAATCAGTAAAAACTTAGTTTAACTATAAATATATGTTCATTATAAGATTAATCTATTAGTATTCCATACAATAGAAAAATTTCCCTGAGACATGTAAATAACAGTCTCTTAAAAATACCTAAGATCCAGGCCAATGTTCTAACTTGGGGTTGAAGCTTGTGCTTGGCATATTGAGAGCCTGGAATTAATTTCCAGCATTGTCACCAATAAGAATAAAAACATAAAGATCCAATATGTTGACCTTCAGAATAATGACTCTTCATTCAATTATTTTTAAAAGATTTAGATGAGGTTCCTGCCTTCCTCTTCCACCCTCCAGTAGAGCAAGAGAGCAAGTGAGAGAGCATCCCCTGACATGCCAGAGCCGCAAGTCCCTTCCTGCCACCAAATCCTGCAGAGGGTCCTGGAGGCAGCCATTCCTGCCTTACCTCTCCACCCTCTGGTAGAACGAGCAAGTAAATGAGCGAGAGTAGAGCTAGTGCATCCAGGAGTGAGGAAAGGATAGACCCTTGAATCCATATCCACCAAAAGATGGAAAGACCCCACCTATAACCACTGGAAGAAGAGACAGGAAGACGACAGAATAATAATACATCCAACAACAGAAAGTCTTATATTACACCACCAGAGTCTAGGGACTCTACACCACCAACACCTGAACATCTCAACGCAGATGAAACAGAAGAGAATGGCCTTAAAAACAACTTCATGAGAATAATAGAGGCCCTCAAAGAGGATATGAGAAAATCCCTTAAATAAATGGAAAAAAACAACAAAAAAATACA